TACGAGCATATCATCTCACTGGTAAAGTGAGCACGTCCTAGAGAGGACAATACTCGCTTTCCCTCGAACCCTTGTCATAATCGCAGATATGTGTTCGCGATGTCGGCAAGAGTCGCGACGTCGCTCTACCGGACGGCTGCGAGGTTGTCACTGATGCCCAGTGCATATTCGATGACGCCTCCATAGGTGGGCTCTCTATTAAATCTATTACTGCTAGGTCGGTCTCGCAGATATCGTCATCGAGGTTATGGGAGGAACAGATACTGCTTGGACGTACACCAAGCACGCCATGGAAGCTGGCAAGTGAGTGGCGGTGCATCTGGACTCCCGGAGTGATTGAAATGAGACTGTAAGGAGTCGTGCTGCGCCCATTAGGCACATCGTGACGGCTAATAAGGCGCTGATATCGAAATACATGGACGCGATAGAGAAGCTGGCATTGGGAAACAACGTACTTCATCAAAATTATTGGAGTAGGGCCAAGTATATTGTCAGGTACAGTTCTTATATGAGGCTGCGGTGTGTGGTGGTATACCGATAGTTAACACCGCACTACGTGGGCTCAGGGCTGACACATTCAATCACATCTCTGGGTGGGCATCTTGCCTCCATCGACTACTGTGCATTGGTGTTTAGGATCATGAATGGAAGCACTAACTACATCCTCTCGCGCATGGAGCATGAGGGAGTCTCCTACGATGAGGTATTCGAGGCCGTCTCGAACTGTCTATGGTCGTGGTTTAGGTTATCAACGACGCTCGCAGGCTGGGGTATCTCGAAGCGGATCCTAGTGCTGGTGAGTATGCGTGCAAATATCTTCCTACAAGTAGTTCCGTTCAGATCTGGAAGGTTATGATGCCAGGAGTAAGATATGCATCCTGGCTCGTATCGCTTTTGGCGTCACAGTCAGCGATGAGAGCCTACTGTAAGACCGTTCAAGTCCGTCCTGTTTCCTTTCGCACTGAGTATAGAGTGTTCATAATCGAGTGCCCTTTCACACTGTTATCAATTGCCCTTTCGCACTGTAAGCGGGTGCCATTTCGCACTGTGCTTGTAATAAAGTGCTTACGTGTCTTTCCTTGCTAAGATCAGCGAGTCCTGCCGTCTGATGTTGTCCTTGTTCGTATTTCTTCTTCATTCGAGATACACTGCTGGCATTACCCATATCACATCTCGTGACTTCGAGTACGCCAAGAGTCGTGGCTACACTATAAAGCTGATAGCGAGAGCTCAGCTCCTACCGGGTGAGGGACTGTCTCACGTTATACGCAGTAGTCGATTTGGCAGCGCTCTTCCATCCAAAGTTGCTTATTTGCTATCACATATTAGGTACGGATGATTGCCCAACTCTCGAGTGCTGGGTATCTCCAGCACTAGTCCCTCTCACTAACTCTATGGCTAAGGTTGGTGGCCCGACTAACTGCGTTGAAGTCTCCACCACCCGTGTGGGGCTCCAATGGTGATGACGATACTTGGAGACTACAGGTTGGGCATGGCGAAGTTATCAGGTATATTGGCGCAGGGGCTGGAAGGTATCCTACTGCTAACTCGGTGGTCAGCGATGTCCTTGAGGCAGTGGACAACTGCAATGCCGGCATTGGGTAGGTTCACTAAGTATCAGTGATGACAGCATCCATCCTTGAGTGTTAATCACGAGAGATATCTCACGTACGACTCTTGGATATTCTCTCCCCAGGCTCACTCATCACACCTTCTGATAGTGCCGTAGTAGCTAGGAGAGAGTCCCCGCACAGGGTGTACATGTCTTTCATACAACATGAAAGTCTTGTAAGCTTTTTTACCGTGCTCATTTCCATGCATACATCTGTCCGCTCAGCGAGGACTGTTTTATTCCTCGTAAGGGGGCGACTCAGTTGTCTGTTATCATAGTCCCTAAGGGAGGTGCCATGGAGGGAAGCGCCAATTATCGCAATAGAAATAGTGTATTTAATTGATGGTCAATATAAATAGATGATTTTATATATACACCGGTCCTGGACCATCCTACCGCATCTTGGGAACATTGAGTAAAGTGTTGCATCGCTAGCAGAAGTTTAACGGGCGGTTGTACGACCACATGCAATGATCACGAGTAGGCAGATAGGCAGAGACTTGGTGTTTGTGGGAGCGAGGCGACCTGAAGCTTCTCTAACGAGGCCGTCAAGGTTTTGTTATGAGTCAGGTTCGCCTCCCCATACGGACGTCGCCAGCTCAACTGTGAGGTTGCCAGCGATGTCCACGCCATTGCGTAGGGAGTCGATTGTCAAATTTGGCTACCGTTGTTGTCGCTGCCCTCAGTTATGCTCGAGTGGGAAACAAGAAGGCACTATTGGAGGTGTTGGAAGAGAAGGGCGTTGAAATTGAAGGTTGGTAGCGCCAATTAAGGTATAAGTGATGGTCCTTTTAGCCACGCCAGACGATGTTATCATGACTAAGAGTCCCGTGAGTCTAACACAGCTACAGCAAGCCTCGCCGATGGTGCTCATGCCTGTACTTGCCTGACTCTCCCATTGATGACCCTTGAGTGTTTCAGTTGTTATTATTGCGTTTATGCTGAGTGCGGTTGAGTAACATACACAACAGTATGGTTGGGTGAAAAAGTCCGAGTAATCGGTTGATAGAGTATTAGAGATATATAGCCTAACTAGCAACGTTCAGCTTTGAAATCCGAGATATATAGACGAACTAGCAACGTTCGACCGTGGTCTCCAAAAAAGCCCCAGCGCTGAAATGTATCCTGTTCTCATCCAGGATGGTTAAGTCAAACCTACTAATCTCTGTGCGACTCATCATGCCTTTGAGGACGCCGTCAAGAT